GGCAGGAGACTCGCTTGAGCCCAGGAGTTGGAGGTTGCTGTGAGCTGTGATGCCACAGCACTCTACCCAGGGGGATAGCTTTAGGCTCTGTCTCAAAAAATAAATAATTATTTTAAATAAATAAACAAACCAGGATTTGATCTGTAACACAATTGGATAGATAAGCAGTGGCTTCTAGGAGGCCAATTCTAAAAATTATTGCAGTTTGTATGTGAAATATGAAGGATTCTAAGGCATTTAACTTTTGAGTGTACTATTTATTCTCTGAATGTGCGTGCTGCTGTAATTACATAGTGAGAGAAGTTCCTCAACTGTTACATGACTAGCAGACACAACTTGCAGAAAAAGTGTGTACAACTTTGTGGGAATTTTATATAATTAGAGAATGCAAATTTTAAAGGAGAAGATATTTATATCTGTACTGCCTACTGATGCAAAAATGTTGGCAGTTATGCATCAGATGACTTAATAAAGGGTTCTGTTTGTCACTGTGCATCACTGATTTGCCTCAAGCATATAACTGGTATGAGGATTCAGTGAATTTAGATACATGAAAAGTATTTTTTTTAAATGAAAATCTTACATAATTTTATACATTGGTTATCTTTTGGCCAAATCTCCACTTAAAATTTAACAACAGAAAACAACCTAACATTTCTGTGAAGATTCAGAAGGAAAAGTGATCTTCAATTACAGACACAACATTATGAAATGATCATACTTTTTTCAGCCCAATATTCCAAATAAGAATTACATATACCCTGGTCGCAATACTTACATAACTGGATCAAACATATTTCGAATCTTTAGACACGGTGTCAAACTATTTGGCGGTGAATTTCTTCTGTCTAAATGAAATGCTACAAAAGACAAATGAGCTTTACTATTTGACACTGTTCCATTTTGTTGAAAGGTATTCAGTCATTCATTTCACTCAAAAACTATTCACCATGTGCTGTTGCTATGGCCCAGACCCCTGGGGTCAGATGTTAAGGAGAAGACACACACTCACTGCCATCACAGAGTTCACAGCTTAGTGGGGGAAATGAATGATGAAAACAGTGCCACCGGCTCGGCGCCTGTGGCTCAAGCGGCTAAGGCACCAGCCACATACACCTAAGGTGGCGGGTTCGAATCCAGCCCGGGCCTGCCAAACAACAATAATGGCTGCAACCAAAAAAAAAAATAGCCGGGCGTTGTGGTGGGCGCCTGTGGTCCCAGCTACTTGGGAGGCGGAGGCAGGAGACTCGCTTGAGCCCAGGAGTTGGAGGTTGCTGTGAGCTGTAATGCCACGGCACTCTACCCAGGGGGACAGCTTGAGGCTCTGTCTCAAAAAAAAAAAAAAAAAACCCAACATGATCATATGAAATAAGACCTCCCTAAAAAAGCGAAATGTATGCTGATAACTGAAGCATAAAAATTATTAGCAAGGCAAAGAGGGGTACAAAGAACAATTCAAGTAGAGACGGCTGGTACACAGCTCCTCAGGCAACAGGGAGGTTGGAATATTCAGGTAACCCCAAAGAGGGCCAATGTGGATGGAGGGGCAGGAACAGAAAGACGTCAGACTATTTGGCACAATGTAAGCCACATTAAAGTTCCTGGACATTATCATAACAGTAATAGAAAGCCACTCAAGTATTTTAAGGAACAGTATAATATGATGAGATCTGCCTTTTAAAACTGAACGTACTTTTAATAGATTGTGATATGGAAACTCAGGTAGAAGTAAATGAGGATGAAAGACCAGTCAGAAGGTTACTGTGGGCATCTAGGAAGATGAGGTGATGTGAGCGAGCTCGGCCACGGGTGCAGATGCACTGTGAGCAGAATCAGGACATTACGAAGCAGACTAGACAGTGGGGTGTGCAGGAGACAGGAAGAAAGACTCCTGCGTTCACGGCAGAACCAACTGCAGAAGGGTATCACCAACCAGACCAGGAACACTACAGAAGTCAGTTTGGAAAGAGAACACACTGAGTTTGCACACATGTCAACTCCAGGGCACCAATCTCCCAGGAGAGAAGACAAGTATACAGTGGGGCACAAAAATCTGGAAACAAAAACTGAAGGTATCAACACATAAGCAGAAGAACCTCCATAGCTGACCTCCTCAAATGGACCTAATTGTCATAGACCAGACGTGCACCACATGTGTGTGTCAACACAGCAGGCAGCAGGCCTAGTTCCTTATGGTGACCAGCCTGTTACAATCCCTTGGGTGGTCAACTTACAGAGGTTCTACTGTTTGTTAAACTAAATCACAGCACTGGATCACCTAGGGAGAGAAAGGAGAACAAAAAAAAGGTGGACTTGGGAGAAACTCTAACACCTAGAGGTCCAGAAAATAGAGGAAAAATGTAGAAAAGAAGATTGAAAACAAGGTCAGAAGTAGGAGAAAAACCACAAGAAAATGGCATCTCCAAATCCAAGAGGAGAAAGTTTCAAAGGGGGGGGGGGCTCAACTGTCAAACATGGATAAAAGGTAAGTAAAATGAGGAATTCAGTTTTGAGTTTCACGGGACCCTCTACCTTGTAGAAGAAATTGTTAGCATAATCTTTCCATCATTTTTACATCATAATTAAAGAAGGCTATTATGCAAGCTTTTTGAAAAATTAACTGGAGAAAAAGAGGATTGAATTTTTAATTGCAATTCCAAAACAATTTACTTAACTCTGCTATAATAAAACCTGCTTTGTAAAAAAAAAAAAAAAAAAAGAAGGAGTTACTATTTACAATTTTCTGTATTTTCTGCTTTCCTAAGTGGTAGAGGCTTGGGTACATGAGGCAGCCAGTCTTCAAAGCCCTGTACATATGCCTATATGTTTTAAAACCATGCAGGCCATTAAGGAAACCTTGGAAAGATATTTACACAAGTTACTTGGCAGAAAGAACATGCAGGGGGAGGGGTCTTAGTGAGAAAGAGGAGGAAAACTGGTAAAAATTTGGGAAAAGGTAGTTTAAAAGTTATGATTCTATTTATATAAGTAATATATTTCATATTTATGTTGTGTACATACAACAAATTATATGTCTTATTCAAAGAAATTAAAAAATGCAGTCAGTATCTATAATACTAAGTAGCATTTAGCAAAAAAGGCAAGATCCAAGGAATGTTAATTTTTATCATAAGAAAGACAAACCATTCACATTTGCATGAGCAAAGACAAAAGTACAGAAGGACACGCAGAACTTGAACAGCAGCTCCTTCAATGGAAGGCTGGGACTGGCAAGGAGCTTTGACACCAGACGCGTTTGAACTGCACTGTTTCATTTGGTTAAATATATATGACCTATGGCTTTTTGAAAAATTAGAAGAAAATTAAATTACTTTTGTTTAAAAATACATATCTTAGCTCAGCGCCCACAGCTCAGCAGCTAGGGTGCCAGCCACATACACCAGAGCTGGCGGGTTTGAACCCAGCCTGGGGCCTGCCTAATAACAACAACAACAACCAAAAAATAGCCAGGCGTTGTGGCGGGTGCCCCTAGTCCCAGTTACTTGGGAGGCTGAGGCAAGAGAATCGCTTAAGCCCAAGAGTTTGAGGTTGCTATAAGCTGTGATGCCACAGCACTCTACCAAGGGCAATAAAGTGAGACTGTCTAAAAAAAAAAAACATACCTTGACCTTGCCATACTTTAGAAGGTATGACTAATATCTTGTCACAAGATGCAGAGGGCTGGATCCACCGCCAAACCAGGAAATCAGCCCCGCCTACCCTCCGAGTTTCTGTGCGAACTCTGGACTCGTTAGCGGCAAGGAAGTCGACAGCTCTGTCCCAGACTTTCTTCATTTTTTTCCTATCAAGTGAACAAAACGACAAATTTACTATCATCTTGACCTGTCATCTTTTTGAAATACTAGCAACTAAAAAGAATGGTTATTATTAAATCTAGCTATTCTCATCACTATCACAGAGTTTGTTCAAAAAAGATTTAGGTATCAGAGGTAGAACATGAGCAGCTGTATTCTCTTCACTTTCCCCTCAACAAAAAAATTATGATGTGGTCCATGAGTATGGTATGGTTGCTGGGGGCTAAGAATGCTACTTTAGGACATGGCATCACGGTTTATTTTCATAATGTTATTTTTTACTGTTTATTTTAAAACTTCATTAATAGCAAAACAGTACTTCAAAACACCTCTAATTATTGTCTGTCTCTGTTTCTTTAGTGATGTGAAATGAAAGGAAATAAGATGGAGACTAAGAATAAATAACGAAGAAAGTCTAACAGCTGGAATGACTCAGAAATTCAGTTATTATGCCAAACAGTCAGGAGGCTAACTACAGAGAACTTGGGGCGAAAAGAGAGTGTGAAGTATACACACAAAACAGCCTGTACAGTAAAACAGGTCTAATTAAGGAGGGTCATAACCCTCTATAATTGTCAATACTGCAGAAGACACCTATATTCTGATTTACTCCAAGTCATGATGCTTTGGACACACCTGTCATGAGGCTGTATTAAGGAATCGCGCACATGTGGGATAGGCATGTAAGGCTGTAAATCTTTATTTTCCTGGCAAGCTTCATTATGACTTCGTAAAACATCTGAAAAGAAATCAGGTTAATGGATGAGTGGATCTCTCGAGGCCATGCTGCAGTCTGTCACACAGTGACTGCTCTGGGGGCAGCGGGGCTCCGGGAACACCGTACCTATGATCTTCACCACCAGGTCATACATCTGCCTTGTCTCCTCCTCCTCCTTAGTCCAGCGATACTTCATGTAACGCAGAACGACACAAACCATCACTACACCTGCAACGTTCATTACTGTATTTCAAAAAGTGTGGTTGCTGACATTCAATAATATGCAGTTCCTACAGTGATTATTTTAACTGTCATAATGAAATAATGCTATGAGTCTTTAAAAGGCTGAATTATCTATATAATAAAAACTATGTTAAGAAAAATTTAATACAAAACATTTTCCAGGCTCGGCACCTGTGGCTCAAGTG